TGTAAAGGACTGCCACCTTTGGACAACAGAGTTTGAAAATGTATGGCATTTTTAAATGGAAAAATGTATAGGAATATTCTTTTTTCCCATTCTTTAGCTACCTTCACCTTCTTTTCTATTTTGTGGTCTATACATTATGTTTTTATAAACTAAATATTAACTGAATTGTTCAGAAATAGGTCCTATTACCTTATCAAACTAGCCATTCCAGAAATTCAACATGCAGATGCAAAAGAATCTTCTAAGGTGGCAAAGAGAATGTATGCATAGTTCATTGGGAAGTTCACACGACATTGGTGCAGCAGAAGCCTAATTTTTCAGCTTTACGTATGCAATAGGATCAGAAACATTGAAGCGTGGCTGCAGGGAAATAGAAAAAAATTATTGAAAAAAAATTATTAACCAACTATTGTTGGTTAATATTAAGATAATAATTTCAACTGTTATATATGTTTGTTCCTTCCTCCTCCCTTTCTCTCTTGTGCTTTTCCCATTCTTTGACCTTTTTTTTTTTAGATTAAAAAATACTTTACTTTGTAATATTAGTTGTCCACACCCTGACCTTGTGATGACAATGTATTAACTTTGAAACCCTGACAGTAAAAATAATGGGAGTGCAATATAAAGATTGGACATTGTGCAGGGTTTTACCTTTTGGAAAATTATAAATAAAAAGATCTACTTGTGTGCCAAATTTCACATCTCTGTGACTTGTGGTTTTCCCTAACTCACTTCAGGGGGCGCTGTGGAGTCATTTGGTGATGCCCATTTTTGATTCCATTAAAATCATGCAATTTCACACGGGAGACAATTATTGGCAAAGTTTCCTGACTTGTTGAATATGTTAAGGCCCCCAAAAACCCGTTCTTTTTGCCATGAACATAATAATAAGAAGAAACTTTCTAAATACAATAGGCCTTCGCAGCATTTTGCTGCAAAGGCCCAACACAGTTTGGCAGATGTAAAATACTTTAGCACCAGCATCATAGTCTCCAGACAGCAATTAACTTAAATCTTGGTAAACAGTAGAAGATTAGCTTTAGGATGATGCATATTCGTTCTTTGTAAGTTTTTAGTTGTCTATCACAATAAAAGGAGGAAATTAACCTTGCGCTTTTTTTCAAGTCAACCAACCTCTTATCAGACTTATTTGTATACATTGATATTCAAATCAAATATCAACCTGGGACATCATTCTTAACTGAAGGTCTGTGAGAAATAAGATAAAAAGGCTGAAAAGTTTTATAAAAAATTTTAATAGATTCTAATCAAGACTTATCTAAAAGCTTACAAGAAAAATCCACATCCTTTAGGGTGTAAATACTGAACTAAAATGGTGAACAAAGGTTTGCTTAAAAAAAATACAGATAAGTTGATTATATCTATAGAAAGAATTTCATCTGAAATCATAATTATTGCAATGACTTGCACACAGGCTCCAAGCCCGGATGTATACAGAGGCAAATACCGGGCAGACCATCCTGATGCAGCTACAGTATATGCAGATGAAGTCAAAGCTATAATAGACAACGTTCATAACAAAGGGCACAAGGTAAAGTTCATCTCTTATGTTTTGCATCAAGTCTTTGGTGTGAATTTTCAATTTGCCAAAAAAAAAAAAAAAAAGACTGAGACTGAGAACTAATAAAATTAGATGTGATTTTTAATGAAGCATTTATTTTGTTCTTGGTAATACAGCATAAAAACAAATGTTAACATTAAAGCATTTTTCAGCATAACCCAACAGCCCATTCGAGGAAACCTAAAGACGTTGGGAAGCTTTCTATTTGCAGTTTATCAGTCTGTCTAGAGATATATGGAGCTGATAAGGCTTTCTTTGGACAGATAGCTGCTTTTATTGCTGAGTCACTGCAGAGTTGTGGCGGCCAGGTAATCCCCCCAGTGGGTTACTTCAAGCAAGTGGCTGAGTATGTATCCTTCACTTTAGCTGGTGTTAACACCGAAACATATAAGTGCAAAAAGTCTTTGTTTTTTATCTGTCCTGACTGGGTGAATGCATGACTCTGAATATATTTTCCTTTAAACATCCTCCACAGCCATGTCCATAAAGCAGGAGGTGTTTTTATCGCAGATGAGGTTCAGGTGGGCTTTGGCCGAGTTGGCTCTCACTTCTGGGCCTTCCAGCTTCAGGGAGATGATTTTGTACCAGACATCATCACAATGGGTAAACCTATTGGCAACGGCCACCCCATGTCATGTGTGGTCACCACCAGGGAAGTGGCCGAGGCCTTCATGTCGTCTGGAATGGAGTACTTCAATACAGTAAGAGGTTATTGTAATAATAAATAGAAAAATAATGCACAAAAAAAGCAAAGAGCAGATGTTTAGCTTTTTGGATGTTTTGAAGATTTTAAGACACGTATGTAAAGACGTAATACCCTCTCATTTTGATTATATTAATATTTTCAGTTTGGTGGTAACCCTGTATCGTGTGCCATCGGTTTGGCCGTCCTGGATGTGATTGAGAAAGAGGATCTGCAGGGAAATGCGCTGCGTGTGGGCCAGTACCTCACCAACCTGCTGGAAAAACAAAAGGAGAAGCATCCGCTGATTGGAGACATTAGGTGAGGTAAATGCACACTCAAAAACCTACGGAGCTCAATGGTTTTACAAGACAGTATATCGTGCATGTTTTTTGTGTTAATTATTGGCAGCTTATTGATTCAGAGACTCATATCCCTGAAGCCTGTACCTCACATTTTCCTGCTTGCTCTTTCTATGCTAATTATGTTAAATCCTCAAATGAAATAAAATTCAGTGACCTGTGAAATTTTTTTTTTCAATTCTTTATCATCATTTCATATTTGGTTTATTTTAAATTTAACAATTTTTATTTTTACCAATATCTATAGGTAAGAGATGGCTCCAGTGTAAATAAAGTGGTGTCGCTCTCTCTCTCTCTCTCGCGCTCTCTATAGGGGGCGTGGTCTCTTTGTTGGTGTGGAACTGGTGAAGGACAGAGTGAAGCTCACTCCAGCAACAGCAGAAGCCCAGGAAGTCATATATAAGTGAGTTTAAGATGTGAAACCTAAGGGTTTAATCTTGCCTTTATACTGCATCTATAATCTAAAGCTAATTTACTGAGAAGGGGGAGAATAAAAAAATAGAAAATTAGCAGATAACACTAAAATTGCGCTATTACTTCCCATGCTAAATTACTAGTAAATCATTCAAATAAAATTTGGAAACTACTCTTAACCATTAAACAACCCTGGCTTCACTTTTTTTTACAGTAAGGGAGAGAAAGCATTAAATCGGTTCATGACTTGCATTTGTTATAATAAATTCCTGCTCAAGTGTTTTGCTTTAAAACAGTTCACCATTTAAAGAAAATGTTTGCATACCTTTGTGATTTTTTTTTTTTGCATCTATACAGACGAATCTGTTCAAGAAACTAATCTGCTAATGGGACTTTCAGATATAATTCAGAATTGGCAAAAAATGTTCATGACTTCCGAGTCATGAAGAAACCAATCTAAGAAAAAGCTAATTGTTCAGGATATTAAAGCAGAAATGCCATAGCTCTAATAATAAACGACTGTTGATCACAATTATTTCTTGATATTCATTATATATATATATATATATATATATATAATGAATATCAAGAAATAATTGTGATCAACAGTCGTTTATTATTAGAGCTATGGCATTTCTGCTTTAATATCCTGAACAATTAGCTTTTTCTTAGATTGGTTTCTTCATGACTCGGAAGTCATGAACATTTTTTGCCAATTCTGAATTATATCTGAAAGTCCCATTAGCAGATTAGTTTCTTGAACAGATTCGTCTGTATAGATGCAAAAAAAAAAAATCACAAAGGTATGCAAACATTTTCTTTAAATGGTGAACTGTTTTAAAGCAAAACACTTGAGCAGGAATTTATTATAACAAATGCAAGTCATGAACCGATTTAATGCTTTCTCTCCCTTACTGTAAAAAAAAGTGAAGCCAGGGTTGTTTAATGGTTAAGAGTAGTTTCCAAATTTTATTTGAATGATTTACTAGTAATTTAGCATGGGAAGTAATAGCGCAATTTTAGTGTTATCTGCTAATTTTCTATTTTTTTATTCTCCCCCTTCTCAGTAAATTAGCTTTAGATTATAGATGCAGTATAAAGGCAAGATTAAACCCTTAGGTTTCACATCTTAAACTCACTTATATATGACTTCCTGGGCTTCTGCTGTTGCTGGAGTGAGCTTCACTCTGTCCTTCACCAGTTCCACACCAACAAAGAGACCACGCCCCCTATAGAGAGCGCGAGAGAGAGAGAGAGAGCGACACCACTTTATTTACACTGGAGCCATCTCTTACCTATAGATATTGGTAAAAATAAAAATTGTTAAATTTAAAATAAACCAAATATGAAATGATGATAAAGAATTGAAAAAAAAAATTTCACAGGTCACTGAATTTTATTTCATTTGAGGATTTAACATAATTAGCATAGAAAGAGCAAGCAGGAAAATGTGAGGTACAGGCTTCAGGGATATGAGTCTCTGAATCAATAAGCTGCCAATAATTAACACAAAAAACATGCACGATATACTGTCTTGTAAAACCATTGAGCTCCGTAGGTTTTTGAGTGTGCATTTACCTCACCTAATGTCTCCAATCAGCGGATGCTTCTCCTTTTGTTTTTCCAGCAGGTTGGTGAGGTACTGGCCCACACGCAGCGCATTTCCCTGCAGATCCTCTTTCTCAATCACATCCAGGACGGCCAAACCGATGGCACACGATACAGGGTTACCACCAAACTGAAAATATTAATATAATCAAAATGAGAGGGTATTACGTCTTTACATACGTGTCTTAAAATCTTCAAAACATCCAAAAAGCTAAACATCTGCTCTTTGCTTTTTTTGTGCATTATTTTTCTATTTATTATTACAATAACCTCTTACTGTATTGAAGTACTCCATTCCAGACGACATGAAGGCCTCGGCCACTTCCCTGGTGGTGACCACACATGACATGGGGTGGCCGTTGCCAATAGGTTTACCCATTGTGATGATGTCTGGTACAAAATCATCTCCCTGAAGCTGGAAGGCCCAGAAGTGAGAGCCAACTCGGCCAAAGCCCACCTGAACCTCATCTGCGATAAAAACACCTCCTGCTTTATGGACATGGCTGTGGAGGATGTTTAAAGGAAAATATATTCAGAGTCATGCATTCACCCAGTCAGGACAGATAAAAAACAAAGACTTTTTGCACTTATATGTTTCGGTGTTAACACCAGCTAAAGTGAAGGATACATACTCAGCCACTTGCTTGAAGTAACCCACTGGGGGGATTACCTGGCCGCCACAACTCTGCAGTGACTCAGCAATAAAAGCAGCTATCTGTCCAAAGAAAGCCTTATCAGCTCCATATATCTCTAGACAGACTGATAAACTGCAAATAGAAAGCTTCCCAACGTCTTTAGGTTTCCTCGAATGGGCTGTTGGGTTATGCTGAAAAATGCTTTAATGTTAACATTTGTTTTTATGCTGTATT